TGAAATTAGTGTTTTGTTGAAAATTGGTCTTAACAATTAGGATATGCAGCTGCACTCAGCGTTTACCCTGCTTCTGCCAGACTGACTGTAATAGCGTCACATGCATTTCCTTCTGGTTTACAGCTTTTCTAACTCCTTGTGTGACGGATTTCAGCACATTCTCACGCTGCCTGGAGGCTGACTGTAACTTTGCCTTTAGACCAGCTTCAGTGTGGAAGCAGTTTGATAGGAGATCAATTTTTACTTTAAAGGGACAAATGCTGTAAATTTCTGAAACATTTCTACCTATTTTGTTTGTGTGTTTTTTTTTTTTTTTTTTTTTTTTTATTGCACCAATTAACCTTTTGGTTTAAGTTATCAAAAAAAAGAAAAGACATTAAAGGGATTTGTGAATTAATAAAATGAATAATGAATACCAATAATTGTTTTATTCTTGCTCACCACTTACAGTGGACAGAGTACACCACGTATGAGCTACATTGCCCAACGTATTCACTCAACCATCCAAATCAATGAATTCAGGTGTTCCGGTCACTTTCTTGGGCACAGGTATATAAAATCAAGCAGCAAGCATGCAGACTGCTTCTACAAACACTTGTGCAGGAATGAGTCTCTCTCAGGAGCTCAGTGAATTCCAGTGTGGTACCGTGATGGGATGCCACCTGTGCAACAAGTCCAATTATAAAATTTACTCACTACTAAATATTCTACAGTCAGCTGTTAGTGGCATTATAATAAAGTGGAGGCAACTGGGAACAACAGCACCTCAGGCACAAAGTGGTAGGCCATGTAAAATGACAGCAGGGTCAGCTGATGCTGAGGCACATACTGTGCAGAGGCCACCTGCTTTCTGCAGAGTTAATCACTACAGACCTCCAAATTTCATGTGGCCTTCAGAATAGCTCAGGAATAGTGTACCGATAGCTTCATGGAATGGGTTTCCATGGCCAAGCAGCAAGGCAAAGCGTCGGATGCAGTGATGTAAAGCACTCCGCCACTGGACTCCAGAACAGTGGAATTGTTTTCTCTGAAGTGATGACTCACACTTCTCTATCTGGCAATCTGATGGACTAGTCTGGGTTTGGTTGCCAGGAGAACAGTACTTGTCTGACTGCACCATGTGGCAGGTGTAAAGTCTGGCGTTGTGGGGTTGTTTTTAGGAGCTATGGGTGAGTTGGTGTGGAAGAACGTGACTGGCCTGCACAGAGTCCTGACCTCAACCTGACTGAATCCCTTTGGGATGAATTAGAGTGGAAACTGCAAACCACATCAACAGTGTCTGACCTCACAAATGGACTTCTGGAAGAATGGTCAGAAATTCCTAAATGTTGTGGAAAGCCTTCCCAGAAGTGTTGAAGCCCAGATCTAAGCGCTGCCTGTTGGTCCCACAGATCAACACTGGGTGTCCAACGTGATCGGGCCCCTGAAATCCTGGAAATGTTGGGCCAATATCATATTATATCTGCTCATGGGAATAATCTTGAGTACAGCAGTCATGACTGAAATAACGAGTGACACAAGGAGAGTTCAGGTACCACATCACTTCAGTTTAATTCTATTCTTCATCTTCTTCCATATAAAAAGAGCGTAATAACCTTTCCAGACAAACATGTTTCTGTTTTATATCTTATACACTGTCCTATAGCTGCATGTGAAAATATATTACTACATAATAGATCAACAGACCACAATATATTATCGCTGTAATACAAGTAGTGTTTTTTTTCCTCTACCAAACAAGGCAACACACTAAATAAATGCATAGTAAAAATAAAAGAAGCAATAAGTACAAAAATATAACTGATAAAAAGCTTATTAATACAAGAGTGCTTCATCTTTGGTTAGGTACATCTTTCTTTAGGTCACCGTCTTATGTGTGTGTGTCTTCTCTTTGTTACATATTTGTGTGAATAACTTTTATACTGCCTTTGGTCATGACATGAAGCAGTTGGAGGTGTGGGGGACAAACCCGACCCCCCCAAAAAGAAACAAAAAACAAAAACTAAAAAACCCAGCAAGCATTTCACGGCAATGGTGTGCTTATATCCTATACGTCCTCCCACAACTAGCTTTTTCCCCTTTTCACATACAAGTCTTTAACAGTGGACGTAACAATACCTGCCCGCATATTTACCTGAACACTCTCAACGCACACACACACGCCTCTCCCTAACACATACACTTGTTAAAAGGTAAAACCCCTCACATTCCTTTTTCCTTTCATTAGTTATTCCTCTGTCTGCTTTACTAGAAGTGTATGAGTGGAAAACAAAACGAAAAACAAAAACCCACGATTGTCGATTTCTGATTAAAAGTGTTACACTGATAAACGAGCTACAGAAGGCAGGCGTGACTGTAAATGTGCTGTACATACATGTGAACACCTGAACATCTCAAATATACAGAGAGTAAATTACATCATCAGGGCTTTGGTCATGGTTTAACAAAGAAAAAAAATACATGGTTTTGTATCAGTACAAAATATGAACACCAGTCATTTTTAAAGGAAATCATTATATTTGAATGGTGACCTTCCTTAAGCTTTTACAGCCTATACTGGTGCAAGCACGCATCGTCTTTGTAACTGCTACCACAAAGCCGTTTGCAGCACTTCAGCACTGTCACTGGTTTACTGGAAACTGGCAGGACTGAGGTCATAAAAGCTCTGCTTAACCATTAAAACAGGCCTGGAAAAACAAAGACATTCTCACAGGGTTCAGTGAGCCTGGATACCCACAGTCATGAAGCTCATTATCAGCCAGCTCAGCTAAATCTGGTTTCTCGTCTATTCATCATAGAGCAGGAAAGGAGAGGCCAATTACAAGCCAGTTATAAAATGGTTTGTATCCATGTGTATTTCTGCAATTATCAAGGCTAAATGGCAAAAAAAAGTCTTTAGATGGTATTCAACCATGGAGGACTTCATGGCAACATAAAGGAAACAGTGAGACCTCCCCTAACATAAAGCAAATAATTTGATTAGTACAATGGAATAAGATACTCTTATGAAAGCCTTGAGAACCTATTAATGCTCTTTAATGAAAGCGAGGTACCATAGATTGTATTAAAAAAAGAGGACTTGGACAATCCAGATGGACTTTAAACTTGTATTCTCTCTCATGGCCAGTAGGGGGCGAACATCAGATTCAAATATACAACTCTTAGAGAAACCGACCCTTCCTCTGCCTTGATTCAAGAGCTCAGTGAACGTTCAACACAGTTTCTTTTGTCCTATCACCTCCAACTGGTCGCAGCAGATGGCTGCCCCTCTCTGAACCTGGTACTGCCGGAGGTTTCTTCCTGTTAAAAGTGAGTTTTTCCTTCCCACCGTTGCCAAGTTGCTGGCTCACAGGGTTGGTTTGATTGTTGGGTTTCCTCTGAATTATTGTAGGCTCTTTACCATATAACGCGCCTTGAGGTGACTGCTGTTGTGATTTGGTGCTATATAAATGAAACAGAATTGAAATTCCCTTACAGGTTTGTGATATCAGTTGGAAATTTTAGCTCTCCTGCAATAATTTTCATTTTGTAAATTACGGTACTATTTAGAGTGAAACAGGTGATAAAGCAGGGCATACTTTTCTGGGCTCAGTCTTATGACTGAGAAGTTTAAAGCCTATGGACGTGGAGTATCCTCTGTCCTCTTATCCAAGTATTGTCTAAATAAGGCTTCACAACACTAGTCCTCACACCTCAAGGTCCATATATGGGATACAAAAGACAAATGTGACCCAGTGCCTCTGGACTCTGAAGCCCTGTTTCGGCTGCTTCTGTGTTGGTCAAATAGGCCACTTGTAGCTACAAAAAACCTAAGACAGGTAAAAGTGAGCCGACGTTGTGATAGTGCAAACCTAAAGGTAGCTTGCTTCATGATAGCAGCCCTTGGTAGATGCTCGTTTGCTTTGTTGGAAAGCCATTTCCTCTGAAGCCTCCTCAAACTTGGAGTTGTGACACTGTACATCATGGCTTGTAAAAGAAACAAATAAACAACCAGAAGGGATCTCACACTGATTTTAAGTTGGCTTTAAACACTCAACA